AGAACCGCCTCGTGGTGTCCTCTGGGTAATGCTAAATGTTTCTCAAAAATATTATAAGAAAAATGATGGTTTTTACACCTAAATCATTTTCACCTGAAAAAAATCGGGGCCGAGTTTACATCTAAATAATTTTAACCTGAAAAAAACCCGGGCCGAGTTTACATCTAAATAATTTTGACCTGAAAAAAACCCGGGCCGAGTTTACCATCGACCTTTTGGAAATGTTTTTTCCTCGGGCCGAGTTTACAATCTCCCGTTAATAGTTAATACGGCTGAATCCTCTAATTTGACTTTGTAGCATATAATTTTATTAAGTGCATGGGTTTGCTCAATTCACGATAAAATAATTTTCTAATAATATTGTATAATTTTTATTTTGAAACAAACCTTTTTTTTAGTCTTAGTTATTTAAATAGTTAATAGTGCCTTTTCTTACATAGTATGCATTATGTAACAAATATGAATAAAGTTCAATTTTGGATTTGTACCTACGTGGCCCGTGGGAAGTACATAGGAGGTTATCAAATATCTGTAGTGCCAAACAAAGCAATATAGGCTAAATATTACGAACTAATAATTTACATCAAACGGTCAGGATATTGTATTAATTGTAGGTACATTTGTCATTTGCATGTCTATTAAAAATCATATACCTATAGATAATAATTTCATAATTATTGTCACGTGCCATTAAGCCGTGAACGTATACCTACAAAATATGTTGTTATTTTTTCTTTCTGAAAAGTATTGTTTTGTGGGACTTTGTTATATTATTATTTATTATGGATTCTATAATAAAAGCGTTTGCCCCCTACCCAACACAGTGCAAGCACTGAAAGCGAATGGCTCCACCCCCGCGAGCATGCCTATGAGCTGCGCATTTATGCACAAACGGAAATTAAAGCTGCTAATTCCAATAGGAGGGGTGATAAAATGTATCTGATTTTAATTGAGAAACATATCGAAATTTATGTTTCAAAATCAAAAATGTGATAATCGGGGATAAACGCACGAAATATTCGGGTGGGTGAGGTTTGAAAAAATTGTATAATCTTTGTACCTAATGCCTATTGTTATACCTATATTAAATTATAGGTAGGTACATAATTGGTATTATTAATATTTTGTGGGGAGGTTAGCCCTTCGCGGCGAATGGTCCGGCGGCGAAACGGTCCGCGGCGAAATGGTCTGCGGCGAAACGGTCGCGGCGAATCGGTCAGCGGCGAAACGGAGCGGCGGCGAAACGGTCACGGCGAATCGGTCGCGGCGAAATGTCCGGGTTCGGCCCGCAACCGTCCTTACATTACCGTATTGCCGTGACAGCCGCGGCTGTGAGAAAAAACTTATTTTTTTAGTTCCAAAAACACGGCTAACTGTTTTAGAGCAAAAAACCTATTATAAAAGTTATAGAGGAGAGTTAAAGATAGAGTTATAGAGTACTAGATTTTTGATATTTTAATTTATTATACCAATTATTCACAAATCAAAAAAGTGAAAACAAAAAACAAAAAATGCAAAACGATTTTATGGATTTTGAAAATGAAATATCGAAAATCGAGTCCTATATGTTATATAAAACATCTATAAAAACCTCTTCAAAAACATTTAAACATAATTTCTATAAAATATATATTATTTATTGTGTTAAAAATATAAGAATTTATAAAAATTAAAACTTATCTCATCAAATAATTAGTGTATTAGATACCGTTACAACACAACTACCTATACAAATTAGTAATTACTTTAAAAGTTTAAAAGTAACAAATAAAATTAAATTTATAAAGGTGATTTATTTCAATACAATTATACATATTACTATACATTTGATTATTTGAACAATTGTATTAAAGTATGTTATAAAATAAAACATATTTATACAAGAACATGTATACAATATATAAGTGTAGAAAAAAAGTAAGATAAACAAAATACATACATACTAATTATTGACTTCCGAAAAAATAATATAAATGGTGTGAATGGTATTTGACAATTATATAATAATATATATTATTATATAATATAATATAATAATACATAATATTAGGTATATAAATACGTACTAAGAACCTTTGCTAAATTAATTTTTAGAACTTGGAGGATTATAACTTAAATTAATGTTTTCTATAGCTGATTTTTTTGCTTTCCTATTTAAATAACATTTTGCTATAAAATATAATAAAAACACTATTATTATGACAACTAAATATTTGTTTGTGTATATAAATTCATACGTTTTATCTACAATAAGCGAATTTAGTAACATATCTTGTTGGTCTAATTGTTTATTTATTTTATTGAACGCTTCTTTATTAAATTTAATATTTTTTATTTCATCGAAGTGAATCGGTTTGGGATAGGCCTGATTTGAAAACTTGAATACATTACAGCATGAATCATTCGTAAGAGATAAGTCTACTGGAACTGAGAAATATGATGTTTGCTTTAATTTAATACTTGTTCAGTTTTTAGTACACCTTTCGAGGTGTAAGCAATACACCCAGACTTCAAGTATAACTTTCCAGAACTTTTAATTTTAATTTTTTGAGTGAAAGACTGTTTATTACAAATTATAGTAATTGTAGTGGGTTTTTCACATACAAAAAACCAATGATTTTTGAAAAATGAGGGATACCACATTTCTGTTTTGAATTCAGAGATATAAGTATCACATTGAGGTGGTTTAGTTACAGAATTTTTTAGTAGGTAATTCTGTTACACATGTGGGGTCCGTGTCACAATTATGTATAATTTCATTCAATCCACAAACAAATATTTTATCCACTACTTGACAGTTATTTAAATCTGGCCATATAAAATATTTGGTCATTATTTTGTCCATTAACAAATACATAGAATTTTTAGTCATGTGGAGAAATTAACCATGTTCATTTATTGGAATGTAAATCGGTAATATGTAATAAACGTTGAATTTTTCTATAAGGCAAAGAGGAAATTTTAAAGAAAAAATAAATCTGTCATTTACTGTGTGCATTTCAATACTTAATATTTTGAATATTTCTTGAATATTATCCTCATCAAATTTAACAGGGATCTTCAAATCATCCGGAAGAATAATCTGAATATTTTTTATTTCCGATAGCAATTGGTCAGGTGTTATTATAAACGCATCTACTATATTTTTCTGTAGGTACGTTAGAAATTACTCTTTGCAACCTACTTATAAACATGTCCAATTCAAATATAGAGTTTTTTAAAAGAGTTATCGAACTCAGAATAATAATTTTTCCGTCTTCCTTAGCTATCTCAATAACCATTTCGTTCACTTTTTTCTCGCCTTCTTTCATATTTGAATCAAAAATTTTCTCATTTTCATTAAATGATGTAACAGAATCGTTAAAATTAATTATTGTGCTTTTTAATATAGATATCTGATCATGTAAAATACACATTACATCTTTCTCATTGTTTTCTAATTTATCGATCGTACTATCATAATATCTTCGTACATCGTCAGCATCAGCTATTCCATACATCCATTTGAATACAATTAATATTGAAATCAGAGTTTTGCATCATCATTCAAATACAATTTTATTTAGATAATATTGTATTCGAATAAAAAATTATTGAAATTATTATTTCACAATCATTCGAATAATTCAAAATAATATTATTGGAATAATTCGAATAATTCAAAATAATATTATTCGAATTATTCGAAAACAATATTATTTGAATAACAAATGATTCGACTAATTTTCAAACATAGTTAAATAATTTTCAGTTATTTTATCTTAGTTAACATAATTTGGACATATGGTTAATATTTTGGTAATTAAAACATTTACGTATTAAAAAACAATAGTTAGCATTGTATTTTAAGTTTACGATTGTAAATCTTCTTTTATTTGAAATAAATAGAAAAATACTATAAATGAAACAAATATAGAACTATCTAAATAATTCGAATATATTTATATTTTGTATTAGCATGTTTGTAAATTATTCAATTACATTTTTAATAATTGTAAAAAAAATCATTCTAATTGTCATATTTGAAAATTATTCGAATAATATTGCGTTTACAAATTATTCAAATAATTTTTTATTCGAATAATTATCTAGATAATATTTTGCTCAACTCTGATTGAAGACTAAAATTAATTAAAAATTGAATTTTAAAAAAAAATTGGTAAATAAAATCAATTTTCTTACCTGTTTCAATGTTACAATTTCGCTTGACGAATGTCAAACGTCGAATACCAAAGTCCGTCGATCTTTTGACTTATATATTTATAAGAACAAATTCAAAAAACTATTCAAATAAACACGGAAAATAAATGATTGTCGAAACACTGTATATAACGTACAACAAAATCGTTTCTTCTATCTCGAAGGCTTGCATTCGATGGTGTACTCTGAAGTACTGGTCAGTAAAATGTATTCGATAACGCGCGGGATATTGAATATTATTTGTTACATGCAATGATATAATTATTATATTAAAATTGATATTATATAGAGACTAATTATATTTTATTATAATGAGTATATTATTTTAATAAATTTTTATTTTTCTAAATTATTAACTTTTTAATGCGTTTGATAATGACCAAATGTCAATATAATATTAATGACAAATGCAATTCTAGCTGTCAGATACTTTTATCTAATAATATAGTGTCAATTAATATAATTACTTACATTTGGACATTTGAACTTATAATTTAAAAATGATTATATTATGGTATTTCATCTTTATCGTAAAGATATCGTAAATAATTATAATATATAATTATCGTACAATTAAGGAATTAAAAACATCAACATAATATTTTATTATGAGTACCTAACGCATTTTATCAAACAAATTACAAATTCTAGTTCTGTTTTTATTCGACTACTATTGTGTTCTATATACAATATATCTAAATGTATTGATTTTACTCGTTTAGTTTAGAAGTATTTAAAGTTAGCGTGCGTGTGTTTTTTATTCCGTTTAAAAAAAATCGTTGTTTCTTTATTGTATGAAAATGGTTTTGCAAAATATTTTTTTGCTATCAAATCGCTCAGCTTTAAACTTAAAAGAAGCTATTAAATTACTTAAAAAACCAAATTTAAACAGTGATAACCTAGTACAGTGTTATAACTTGGAACCAACACCAGGTTTGTGGTATATGTGTGCGTACAATCAAAGTTCTACTGACGGCATTGAATGGAAATCAACAGGCACTCGTTCAATGCCTAATGAAAAAAAATCCCACCGTACTGGTCGAATACTTTTCATCCGAAAAAGTGAATAAAAGTGTATTTAGATTAACGAAGAAAAACGAATATGACGCATTGACGCTATTTTGGTTAACTATTCAGATGTGAACCCTACATTTGCGAAATTAAAAATAACACATATTTCTAAAAAAAAATCCATCAACAATATTATGAAACGTCTCAAACTAATAAAAAAAGATAGTAACTCTGTTTCTATTGTTTCTATTGTATGCTTTAGAAGTTTCAAGTACCCACGAATAATATTATACAATCACAACAAAATAACTAAAATATTTATTCTAGGTTTTTTAATATGTAATTTCGTAAAATTTAAAGCAAACGAACTAATACGCTTAGGCATTAGAATTATTATTATTTATATTTACTCGTCTCTACAATAATCGTAATCATTAACTAATTTTATTATACTGCAGTAACTGAGTAACTGCGGGCTGTCTTCTCAATCGCTGTCTTTTGAATAATATTATAGATACATTTTACTTTCATTACCATCGCTATGTATAATGTCAATATATATTATAATAGGTATAACCGTGAGAATTATTCGGAAAATGTGAAATCTGAGTGTGCCAAATCGTCTTGTTTATAAAACTCAGATTTCCAAATCATAATTAACAACAGCGGACCCACAGCACATAAGCACAACATTAAAAAGGGCTTACCGATTAATATTTCGAGAAGTATGAAAGCCGAAAGGCAACACTATTATAATATGGTAGGTAGTATAGGTTCAAATCGTATTATAACAGCTGCATAATCGAGTACCTACCTATACACAGTGTTGCAATTATGATTCTTGAGGCCCCGGACAAAGTATTGGGCCCTGAAATCTATGTATAATATAATATTTTTTATAGGTTACCTATACAAAAATAAATAATGATGGTGATTTTCTTTTAAAAAAAAAACAAAATTGTTATGTGAAGACCCACTAACCCAGTGACCAGTGTATTGTTATTAAAATATAACTACACTTTATAAGTGTTCTTTTTTATTATAAATATTAATAAAAACTTTTGTAAAAATATATGGTTCTAAAAAAAGTATTGCATAGCATAAAGAAATAAATATATTATATTTAAACATATAATTAGGTATATAGAAAAACTCTTTACCGTATTTAAAATTATAAAAAACCTATCACAAACAGATACAAATAATAATAATTAATAAGATATCAATTGATCATAATTATTAGGTACTTGATATTAACAATAGACATCAGTTCAACAAATTAGATAATATAATATGGCAGTGGTGGCGTGATAAGGTGTTTCATGTGGCAATTGCCTCACGACCAATTAGGTGGTGGTACCCCCCCCCCCCTCAGATACGGATATTAAAAACCACATATGAAATATGGTCAAGGGGACGGAGTGGTCTAAGGCGTCGGTCGCGACGCAGCCGGTGCCAGCTCGATTCCTTGGTCGCGGGCGGCAATTTTCTTTGGGTAAGTCACGGAGAATAAGTGCCACCATCTCCCACCCGGAAATGGCAAATACCTATGGGTGCCCCAAATAAAAAATTCTGCCAAAACAAACACACACGTGTAACAAATCTACAGTACCACAGGCTAATGACCTAAGTTGTCGAAGCCTTAACCCTAATAAAAAATAAAAATAATAAATAAATATGATCAACTAATGTCTAATAATAATTTTATTATATTTCTGATATTAACACAACCAAGTATATTATCGTTGTAGAATTGTGAATTGGGGTGTGGGGGCAAAGCCCCCACGAGTCTGTGTGATAAAATTTAGGTGGTGGTGGTCGAGCATTTATACTTGCCTCATAAAATAAAATAGTTCACGCCGCCACTGTAATATGGTACCTACTACCTACATATATAGAAAATAATAATTACAAACAATATAAAATACAATTTTATAACTTATTTCAAGTCATTGACAACGTTCATAAATCAGAATGCTAAATATACTCATAATATGTGCTATATAAATGAAATAATTATACAAATTAAGAACGGAAATGAAAATTCATTGCTTTTAAATTAGCAAAGTAATTTATAACATTTCCCAAATTTAATTCAGAATTCAGATGTTGCTCTGATGTTCAACATTAAGTATGGCTATATAATTCAAATTATCTTGTACTATAGACTTCACAGAAAATTCTTAATAAGTTTTAATTTGGAAAATGATCTGTAGTGGCAACTTTAAGTGGTAATACTAAAAACATCCCTCTACTTGTTATGTAAAACCCCCTTGGGTGGGTGTTAGAATTATTTTTGCACCATAATTTGCAAAAGTAATTTCCATTACATTTTCTTTACTTGGATATAATTCTAATGAAATTACTAAACGCGTTACAAGCAAAGTAACGCCGTTACAGTAACGCGTTACTTTCGTTACGTTACTACCCAACACTAAAAATATTATATGAACATAAACGTGTTTCAGATAATTTAAGAGGACCACAATGAGTGTTAATTTTAATTAATAAAGGGTAGCTCATATATAAAAACTCCAGATGGAAAAGCTAATAGAAAGTCAGTTTTAAATGTAAAAAATGAAAAAGATAATAAATGTTTTTTAATGTCGATTTTAGCTCATTTGTATCCAGTTGAACATATATTTATCATCCACAAAGAGTAGAGAAATATAGAGAATATGGAAATATATTTGATGAAGTAAAAATTGAGTATCCGATGATAGTTAGTAAAATTCCTAGTTTTGTAAACAGCGTTAATGAGAAAAAGTTGATTGAAGGCGGATTATCTATTAATGTTTATCATCATGATGAAGATTATAAAATAACACCACTATCTCTAACGAAAGATGAGAAAGAAGTACATATTAATTTATTATTTTTGAAAGATGGAGATAATACACATTATTTTTTAATAAAAAATGTATGGGGATTAGTTAAGAGTCAAATTACAAAAAAATTTGAAAAAGAGGTATCTTTGTAGAATGTGTTTAAACAGTTTTCAAACCATGGGAAAATTATTAGATCAAAAGAGTTACTGTATATTAAATAAGGCATCAAAATTAGAAATGCCGAATAAAATTGAAAACATTGTTAAGTTCAAAAATTTTAATCACAAAATGAAAGTACCTTTTGTTATTTACCCAGATTTTGAAAGTGTTATAAGACAGATAAATAAGAGAAAGAAAAATTGTAGTACAGTTAAAATTCAGAAACATATTGCAATAAGTTTTGTTTATATTATTGTATATGCAGTGGCGTATTTAGGAATTTGTCATGGGGAGGGTCCAGATAATTTTCAGAACACAGAGCCACGGCCCACGGGGTACGAAGTCCCCCACACCACCCATTTACTCTTTATTCAATAAAATATACCATATTTATAAGACGATATAAAATTTTTCAGTTTTTAATTATTAAATAATAATATGTACAAAACAAATTTAATAAAAAGCGTTTAAGTGGATGTCACTCTGCTGCTGTACAGTAGGTTACAAGTGGGTCAATGTATAATGGATTGTATTAAACTTGAACTCAATGATATAATATCATAATATCATTGTATAAGAAAAACGATTCTGAGCGAAGACGGTTTGTCAGTCTGGATATTTTATATTGTTATTATTTATAATAGCCTGTAAGTTGAATTAATAATGAAATATTTTTTTTTTATTCTTTTCTATGGTGATAGACAAAGTGTTAGAAATTTAAATCCCATTTTTAGCGGTTTTTCGTAATTTTTTGGTGGTTTTTACAGTGGCATGAAATAACTATTGGGAAAATCGAAAAATGACCTCTCTAAAGTACTATCTTGATCCAATTTTCTAAAAGATAAGTTACTATATGTCTATACATGTTGAAATCGAAGCACTATTTCTGGAAGAAATTTTGTATACAGGAAAAATAAATAAACATCATTGTAAAACCAAAGATCCCTCAGAATCGAATATATAGTTATGTTATAACTTTTATACAAATATTTCCTTAATTACATTAGGTACCTACTTCATTCATAGTTGATCTTAGATAGCTTTTCATACTTAAAATGGTTGAAAAAGATCTCTCTGGAGTGGTTGTAGATACTGGCAATGTACAAAACTACAAAATATTTGAATTAAAAAATGAACTTGGTATTTTTCAACCATTTTCGGTATCCAACTGAAAAAAATAATCAAGATATTTATTGAAAATGTTGATATAACTATAGCTTCAAAAATTTTTTATAAAATCCGTAAAATCGTATGAAAAAATTTGTTTTTAGATTCTAAGCGGAGCGATGAATGTATTGGTTTTACAATGATGTGTGTTTTTATATTTTTATATTTTTATATTTTTTTTTGTGTCTGTCATCACGTTTTGGGACAGTAAAAGTGCTTCGATTTTCTTCAATAGTACCTTTTCTGATAGGAAAGTGAATCTAGTTGGTACTTTGGGGGGTCAAAAGTAAACATTTTCCAGTAGTTTTCACAAGCGCCGGGAAAAACAACATAAAAATTAAGGAAAAACGGGAATTTTTACGCAAAATCGATTTTCCAAAAAATCGAATTTGGTTTTTGGTGTAACTTTAAAACAAATGACCGTAGATACATGAAATTTTCACTGGTTGTTTATATTTGCATTTTCTATACACGATAACATTTTGATTTATTTTGAACTGTTTAGGGACATTTTCATTTTTCATTTTTTTTTAGTTTTTTTTTCTAGAAATATCAATAAAATTTTATTTGTTGGTTGCGAAAGCTTGAAAATTTAATAGAAGGCTCCTAATATGTTGTTTCAAAGGCAGATGAAAAATATTAAAAATCCTTAGTCACAATTTTTTTTATAAGCATTTAAAGTTCAAAAATTTACAAAATATGGAAAAATCACGAAAATTAGCAAATTATTTTGAGTTAAGAATTCGTAAAAATTGTTCTTTTTAAATCTAAGATTTGAAAATGAAACACAAGATTCCTTATAAGATTATCTACCTTTATCAATAAAAAAATCTCTACCGGACAGTCAAGTTAAATTTTTATGAGCGTTTGAAATTCAAATTTTTACAACATTGGATATTCACTCG